TATTGTTCCTGGTTATCAGCAGCCCTCATATGGATTTCTTGGGGGCAGGTTCTTCCTTTTAAATCCTTGTGTAACCCTTTAAGAATAGAAACTTGAGAAATCCAGGGAATAGTTAGCACAGCGCATCATCAGACTTTTCCAGAGAAACAAAATCAAGAGAATAGCTAGCTAGGTGCTGGTGGCTTATGCCTGTAATGCTAGTTACTCGGGAGGGTGATGTCTGAGGATGGTTGTAGAGCACTAAGCTTGAGAAAAAGAGCTCAGGGATAGAACCCAGGCTCTAAGTTCAAGCCCTATGATTGAGAAAAAGAAAAAAAAAAGATGCCTGAGTACCAAAAATGCCTCTTTTGCATCAAGCAAAGAATAATTAAACCCTTCCTTTTTTTCTTATTTAGACCCTCAATGGATTTAGTGCATTCATTTTGGGGAGGGCCAATTGCTTTACTCAATTAATCAACTCAAATACTGATCTCTTCCAGAAACATTCCGACAGATACAACCAGAAACAATTTTTTTCTTTTTTGGCCCTAGGTCTTGAACTCAGAGCCTGGGTGCTGTCCCTGAGTAATTTTGCTCAAGGCTAGCATTCTACCACTTGAGCCACAGCTTTACATCTGGCTTTTCTGAGAGTTAATTGAAGATAAGCGTCTCATGGATTTTTCTATTCGGGCTGACTTTGAACTGTGATCCTCAGCTCTTAGTCTTCTGAGTAGCTAGGATTACAGAAATGAGCCACAGGCACCCAGCCTGAGACAATGTTTTATTATCTAGCTGGGCACCCCTTAGCTCAAGTCATGCAGATATATAACATTAACTAACACAGTGAGGACAGATAAAGTAACCACAGTTTATATAATTGAGACATAGCTATAAGTAATTAAAGATTTAAGAAACTGTACTATACAATTCAATGTTAAATATAGAAATACTGAAAAAAAGTTTTCAAATGAACAGAATACTGAAGCTAAAGCACTGGTGGCTCACACCTGGAATTTTAGCTACTCAGGAGACTGAGCTCTGATGATCCAAGTTCAAATCCAGCTCAGAAAAGAAAGTCTGTGAGACTCTAATGTCCAATTCCACCAAAAAAGGTGGAAGTGGAGCTGTGGCTCAAATAGCAAAGCACTAGCCTAGAGGATAAAAGCTCAGAGGTTGCATTCAAGCCCCAGGACTAGCACCAAATAAAAACACAAATACCCCAAATAGACAACAGTTATATTTCTTTGAATGTGGAAAATTTAAGATTATTTCAAATGCTAATTTTATTCACCTAATTTACTCCCTTAATTCAGGTTGATTGAATGTCCATTATTTGGCTGGCAGGATCCTAGGGGAAACAGCAATGCTCCAGGAGCATTTTGTGTATCTGAGGGGACAGACATTATGTAAATAATCCTTGAATGTTGGTTGGGAATAACTGGCAGGACGATTTATACCACTTGTGTTTAGAATATTTTCTAGACCACTCGACCCCCACTAGAATGGTTATAATGTTACTGATGTAGCACTTGCTAAGGGCTATTTATAAGTACTACTTATGTAGCACTTCTTCCAGAAGTTCTTGGGTCTGTCTACCATTCAGCCATAGGTATAATAAAATAACCATGAAGTGGATAGTAACCAGTGACTTACTACCTAAGTGAAGGTCTGCCTCATTACTACCTAAGCGAAGGTATGCCTCAGCTTATATGATGGGAAGTTGACTAAGAGCCAGTTGCCTAAACTGGGACAGTATACCTCAAGAGGTGAGGCAGAAAGTCAGGTAAAGATTAATTTCATGGAAGTTGTTAGGCTTATCTGATAAAAATAGGATGAATGCGTGGCACAAATTTGAGGTCTACTACTCTTTATAATTCTTCTATTCTTATAGCTTCTAAGGTAGCATCCTTGGAGGCCTTTCCCAAATAGACTGAAACCTACACATTGGCTGCCCATCCCATGTGTGGGAAGGCATAAGCCTGCACATTTGATCCTTTTTGTCCTTCCTGGTTTAAGGCTGCCAGGAGAAGGTCACATAGCATTCATTATGCTCTCCAGTCACACACCTGACCTTGATACAGGGCCATTATCTTAATCATTGGCCAAGGGTATATGAGCCTTTTGCCCTCTTAGAAATGGAACCTTGTAGCCCTGGGCATTCTTTCCTACACCTACTAGATGAATCCATACCAGATGTTGTGAAAGCCAGATTGCATTACTGGCAGAAATTTAATATGGTCCAGTCACTTTGGTAGACAATTGATTTCTTTTTTTTTAATTTTATCTTTTGATTGAAAAGGTGATGTGCTGGGAGGTTTCAGTTACATAGGTAAGACATTAAGTACATTTGTTTTTAATCATCATTACCCCATCCCTCTTTATCGCCCACTTACCCTTCCCTACCCCCACTAAGTTGTAATGTTCATATCCCAGATAGTGTCAAGTGAGTATCAATGTTGCTATGGTTCATCCGTTGTTCTGTTGTTTCTGTAATTCCCTTTCCCTTTCACATATTGCGTTATTATGCAAAATATGAAGTACAAAAAGCTAAGAGAAATGAAGAAAGAAAAAACCAACAATAGAGAAAAAAACATATACAGTGTCTAATGAGAGCCTCTTGTTTCCATTCATTGGAGTTTGTGCTAATAATATACTTCATTATATATAGTTCTTTGCACTAAGCATTTGGGCTCCTGAGATCCCCTCTTAACAGTATCTTCTACATATTCTAGTTCTTACAAATGAGGGAGATCATGTGACCTGCTTTTCTTTGGGTCTGGCTTACTTCACTTAATTTTTCCAGTCTTACCATTTGCTTATGAATGGAACAATGTTATTCTTTGTGATGGAAGCATAGAATTCTATCCATTCATCTACCGAGGGGCATCTGGGTCGGTTCCAAATCTTGGCTATGGTAAATAATGCTGCAATGAACATCATCGTACTACAGGTTTGGTGTGGCCTTTTTTTTGGACATTTGGGTAGATTTACAGAAGTGGAATTGCTGGGTCATAGGGGAGCTCTATGTGTAGTTTTTTGTTTTTGTTTTTGTCAGTCATGGGGCTTGAACTCTGGGCCTGGGAACTCTTCAGCTCAAGGCGAGCGCTCTACCTCTTGAACTACAGAGCCACTTCTGGTTTTCTAGTGATTTATTGGAGATTAGAGGCTCACGGATTTTCTGCCCTGACTGGCTTGGAACCTTGATCCTCAGATCTCAGCCACCTGAGTAGCTAGGATTACAGGCATGAGCCACCGGTGCCCAGCTGGTTGGTTTTTTTTTTCTTGCCAGTCCTGGGTCTTGAACTCAGGGCCTGAGCACCATTCCTGAGCTTCTTTTTGCTCAAGGTTAGCGCTCTACCACTTGAGGCACTGTTTATGTGGTGCTGAAGGATTGAACCCAGGGCTTCATGCATACTAGGCAAGCGCTCTACCACTACGTCACATCCCCAACCTCTACGAGTAGTTTTTTTTTTTTTTTTTGGTCCAGTTGTGGGGCCTAAACTCTGGGTCTGGCCGCTGTCCCTCAGCTCTTCAGTTCAAGGCTAGTGCTCTACCACTTGAGCCACAGCGCCACTTCCGGCTTTTTTCTTTTTGCTTATGTGGTGCTGAGGAATCGAACCCAGGGCCTCATGCATGCAAGGCAAGCGCTCTACCACTGAGCCACCTTCCCAGCCTATCTACGAGTAGTTTTTTGAGGAATCTCCACACTGCTTTTCAGAGTGAACAAGTTTGCACTCCCACCAATAGTGCAGTAGCAGTCCCCTTTGGTCACATCCCTGCCAGCATCTGTTGTTGTTAGATTTCTTGATTTTGGCCATTCTAATTGGTGTAAGGTGGAATCCCAATGTTGTTTTGATTTCATTTCTTTTATAGCCATAGATGTTGAACAATTCTTCATGAGTCTCTTGGCCATTCGTATTTCCTCTTCAGAGAGGTCTCTCTTAAGGTCTTTAGCCCACTTTTTAATAGGGTAGTTGTTTCTTTGGGGGTTTTATTTGGGGGAATTTAATTTCTTGAGCTATTGGTATATTTTAGATATGAGACCCTTGTCTCTTGTATGGGTGCTGAAGATCTTCTCCCTGTCTGTGGGGTTTCGATATATTTCGCTAGCTATAGACATTTGACTTCTATAGTTAACATACATTTATTTCATAAGTACTACTCATTCCAGCCCTTGGTATTTACCCAAGATAAATGAAAACGTCAATCCATGTAACAACTGGTCTAGTCATCATGGTAGTTTTATTTTTAATTACAAAAAAAAAAACTGGAAAAAAAAAACCAAAATGCCTACCACAGGGAAAATTGTGTTACCAAGTTAAAAATGCCATTCTGAATGGCCCAGGGCGGAGCCAGTGACTGGGAACTTCCCAGGGTAATGGAAATATAAATCTGTACGGGGGGGGGGGGGCAGCGGTGGTTTCAAGCAGTGAATACAAATTGGTCAACCCTCTAGAATGCACTTTAGAAATCCAGCGTTATCAACAACAGCAAAGTGTGACACAGTGACTGAGGGGGTGGCTGGGAGCAGAGACAAGGAGGTTTTTGAGGAAGAAGAACATTAAGCTGCAGTCTGGCTTTAGAAGGAAATGGCCTGGGCGGAGGGAGGGGGCGGGAGATTCCAAGTACCAGAAACTTTTCACAAGTCCAAGGCGCCGGGCGGAGAGCTGCCAGCCCTCTCGAGGGCCGATCCTAGCTAGACCCCAGGACCGGCCGGGCCCCCCCATCCCCATCCCCGATCCCTCCGTCCCCAGCAGATTCCGCGATCGCTCGCTTTATTCCAATGATTTCCTGGGCCGCGGCTGCCGCCCTCGCCGCCGCCTCCTGACCATAGCCGGGCGGGGGGGGGGCGGGCTCTCTGCGGCGTCGCGCTGACGTCACGCGCGCGCTGACGTCACCGGCGGCCGCGGCCTGTGAAGCGGGCTGGGGCTGGGGGGCGCCGAGTTTGACTAGTTTGGGGGCCGCGGGGTGTTTGGCGCTTCCCACCATCCTCCCTCCCCCTCTCCCCCCCTCCCGACGCCGCCCCGCCGTGCCCCGGGAGCGGCGCCTCGTGCGGGCCAGGGCGTCCCCTCCGGCTCCCTCAGGGGCTCGGAGTGGCGGCTGGGCGGCGCTCGGTGAGAAGTTACTCCGGACGGGCGGGCGCAGCCATGGAGCCCCGCAGCGCGGAGTACTTCAGCGCCCAGGTGCTGCAGAAGGAGGTGGGCAGCCGACTGCAGGCCGGCTCGGAACTCCTGCTCTACCTCGGCTCCCCCAGCGCCATCCCGGATCTGGAGGAAGACCCGAGCCGCTTGGATAAGATCGTGGACGCGCTCGTCGGCTGGGTGGGCTCGAGCAACTACCGGGTAAGCGCGGGGCGGGACGGGACGGCCCTCGGCCGCGGCCCTTTAACCCGGCGGCGCGTCCGGCCCGAGACCTCCTCCCCCCCCACCCCCAGGTGCCCGGCGCCGCGCCGGCCCGCGAGCCGGGGAGCACCGGGGTCTCGCGGCGCGCCGCCCGCCAGCCCGCGCCCGCCGGGAACTCGCTTCCACCACCACCACCCAAGTTTTTCCACACTTGTAAAACAATGACAGACGCGGCGATTCCGGAACACGGGCCCCAGGACGTTGTGCATCGCTGAAGGGAACAGATAACCTAGATGCAGTACAGGGGCTCGGAGACTTTCTCACGTGTGCACATGGCTGGTGGAGGACGTTGGCTCGGATACGAAGTTTAGTTCAAAGATTTCAAAGAATTCTCCTTTCCCTCCCCCCCCCCCATGGTTGGTGTATTGCTTTTCTTTTCTTCCTTACGTTTGGTGCTTGGCAGGCTGTGATCTCTCTTCTCTAAATCGTCTGGAGGACTTAAACGAGTCCTCGGTTGCCTCTGCTGTGAAAGCTAAAGCGGAGATGCTGACCCCATGACATGGTCTGTATGCTTGGCCTTTCTGCACGACCCAGAAAGCAGCTGAACGCTGCTTTGTCGTGTTGCTTGACCACAGTGTTTTCCGAGGACTCACTCGGATGTGCTGCCGGGTTTGGTTGGTGCTGGGACAGGAGATGAAAGAAGAAAAGTTGTGTGTGTGTGTGTGTGTGTGTGTTTTAAAGGATGAGCTACAAGAAGAAATGGCTATTTAGTATGTAGAACTGGCAGGTTGAGGTGGGAATGTGGCTACGGAGAGAGACCAGGTAAATAGTCTGCAATTAGCCAGTTCTGTAGCTGATACCAGTTACTTTCCTTAGTAGTCTTCTGGTGGCAGTGTTGCCTTAAAATGCTTTCCAGAACTTCGGTTGGACGAAGGATTTTTTTTAAAAATGTTATCCTTATATCCCGTGAATAGAATGTTTTTAAACTTACGTACCTGGAAAAGAAAGACTTTACAGTTATGAGGCAGATGTAATGGTGAACTCCCTGTAAGTTTTGGAAAAATTAGACTTTTTTATTAAAATAGTTTGAGGATTTACTGCTTTGATGCTCCATTACATATGAACTGTTCTTTGTTAAAGTTTTGAAAAAGTTAGTATTTATTACTAGTCATTTAAATATTTTTTTTGAAGAAATAAGCTAAATTTATTTACTCTGAAAGAAAGGCATATACATAGGCTGTTGTAGCACACCTCTTTGGTAATATTTATTTACCTTTCATATACTGACTTCTGTATACATCACCTGTATATATTCTATGTGCTGTTATTGTGACGTATATATGCTGTATAAATTCTCTATTCTCTATATATCACCTCTTTACTGACTTTAAGTAAATTTAGTCAGCATATCACTTCTAGGATATATTGTCAGCTGGTGCTGGTTGAGCAGTTTCATTTCTTGGAGCACGGCTGGTTTCTGTGGTAGCATAGCCTCTCAAGTTTTCTGTTATACTGTTGAACTCTGCTCTGTTTGGTGATGTGATTTTTTGTTAGCTGGTCCTATGACTCCTTCAAGGGTGTGATCCAAGGTCTTTCTAGTACATGTTCTCTTTTGTGCTCCTTACTAGATAGTGCAGCCTGAAACAGTTTAGCAACTAGGAGAGACTTGTCTTAAGCTGCCACCATTTAATCTACATAGGTATTTCTACCTATATAGTCAATATTCTTTGCTGTTATGCATAATTTTCCTCACTTAATGACAGTTCTTCCACTTGAGAATTAGATGCTATACCTCTTTCTTATCTACACAAGGGTATTTTTCACTTTTTTCTGAATCATCAATTGTGTGTGTGTGTTTTTGCACTCAACACGCATGTTCATGTGCACATGTAGTGGGACTTGGCTCAAACGCAGGGGTAGGGTGTTTTTCCTTAGCCCTGTTCCTTTCAAGGCTGATGCTGTACCACTTTAGCCACAGATCCACTTCCACTTTCGTTCATATGGCTTGTTGGACATAAAAGTTTTTTTTTCTTTTTTAAATATTTTTATTGTAAAATAATTAGTACATATCCTATTGAGCATTGTTAACCCCTCTGGACATAAAAGTTTTATGGACTTTTCTGCCCAGGCTGGCTTTGAACCCTGATCCTTACTTAGATCCTTGATTAGGAATGATAATAGACATGAACCACCAATGCCTAGCTGACCTTTTTTCTTTTCTTTTCTTTCTTTCTTTCTAAAAAAAATCATTTAAAAATTTACCCTTCAATTCAATTCAATCTGTCAATTTTTTATGTATACAGTGCATTTTCATCAGCACTTCAAACTACTATCCCTCCAATCTCAGCCTTCTGAGTAGGATTACTGGCATGGGCCTCTGGTGCCTGGCTTGCTTCAATACATTTTGAATATCATCTTTATTCTGGATGTTGTTTAAACAACTGTGAATAAGAGCAGAAGGCAGCTGGGCATGATAGCATGTGCCTATAATCCCAGCATTCAGGAACTAAACTAGGAAGAAGGCTGAGGATTGCAAGCTTGAGGCTAGCTTGGGCTACGTAGTGAGACCTTGTCTCAAAAAACAAAGAAACAACAACAACAAAAACCAAGAAAGGCTCATTCAGTCATTCTCTTTAAGATATATATTGTTGACCTATCAAGTACAGGCTTTTAGTATTCCATTGACTGGATAGGATGGTGAAAAAATAAAAGGATAGATACCATTGATTTTGTGGATTTAGGTTCTAGTGGAGAAGTTACATAGATGAGTGAATAAAACCTGTAGTGTTAGCTGGGTGCTGGTGGCTCATGCCTGTAATCCTAGCTACTCAGGAGGCTGAGATCTGAGGGTCGTGGTTCAAAGCCAGCCTGGGCAGGAAAGTTCATGAGACTTTTATCTCAATAAACCACTAGAAAACCGGAAGTGGTGCTGTGGCTCAAGCCGTAGAGCGCTCGCCTTGAGCTGAAGAGCACAAGGACAGTGCCCAAACCCAGAGTTCAAGCCCCACGATCGACAAAAAAAACCCTATAGTGTTTAATGGTATTAAATGGGCTGGAGAAAAAACAGTGAAGGGAATAAGGGAGTGTTCCTATTCACCTCAACAAAGTGAGGTGACATTTGAGTGGCAGACACTAAAGAAATAGGAATGAGATTTAGCAAATTAAGAGATCCTAGTTTTGAAAAAGGCCAGTCATCATGGCTAGAGTTTAAATGAGAGATGTTAAGAAGGATGAAGTTGGGAAAGCAGGTAGAAAGAGCCTTATTAAAGACTTTTTATTTTATTTTTTGCCAGTCTTGGGCCTTGAACTCTGGGTTTGGGCACTGTCCCTAGGCTCCTTTTGCTCAAGGCTAGTGCTCTTCCACTAGAGCTACAGTACCACTTCAGTCTTTTTCTTTGATTAATTGGAGATCAGAGTCTCATGGACTTTTCTGCCCAATCTGGTTTTGAAGATCCATACTCAGATCTCAGGATCCTAAGTAGCTAGGATTGCATGGTAGGGGCTGTGGTAGCAGTGGCAGTGCAGAGAAAGTGGAAAATGTGAGGTTTGAGTTATGGTAGGTCCAACAGGACCTCATTTGGGATTGGCAGTAAATATTGAGAGAAGGAATTAGGGATAATTGTCTTGTCTGAACAAGGGATGAAAGGTGCTGTGTCATTATTTACTAAGATATGGAACCAGCCCAGATGCCCCTCAGTAGATGAATGGGTCAAGAAAATGTGGTATTTATACACAATGGAATGCTATGCTTCCATCAGAAAGAATGACATCACCCCATTTGTAAAGACATGGAAAGACTTGGGGAAAAAAATCACTACGTGAAGCAAGCCAGACCCAAAGAAACATAGGTTCCACATGTTTTCCCTCATTTGTAAGAATTAGTATAAGTCTAGGATAGTCCTAGCAGAGGATCACAGTAGCTCAATAGCTATGTTCATATGACCATACAAAATGATGCTAATTTCCAAGATAGGGAAATGAGGTTTTTTTGTTGTTGATGTTGTTTTTAATCTACAGTATGAAGTTGTTTCTCTCTCTCTCTCTCTTCTTTCCGCCCTTTCCTTCCCTCCTTCCCTCCCCTTCTTTTCTTTTTCCCTTTGGTTTATCCCCTGTAGTCACTGTTTTTGATTCTGGTACTCTGTCTTGTATATACATTTATCTGATTTGGGGAAGGGAAGGGGAATAACAAAATGGATAAACAAAGGGTGAACCAATGAAGTGATATTCACAAGACACTATGTTGGAAATGAGCTCTACAACTTGGCTGGGAGGGGGAAGTGGTAGAAAAATGAGGTGTTAACAATGTTCAACAAGAAATGTACTCATTACTTATGTAACTGTAACCCCTCTGCATCATCTTTACAACAAAATAAATTTTTTTTTTTTGGTCCGGTTATGGGGCCTGAACTCTGGGCCTGGGCACTGTCCTCAGCTCTTCAGCTCAAGGCTAGCGCTCTACCACTTGAGCCACAGCGCTACTTCCGGCTTTTTTCTTTTTGCTCATGTGGTGCTGAGGAATAGAACCCAGGGCCTCAGGCATACAAGGCAAGCGCTCTACCACTGAGCCACCTTCCCAGACCCCAAATAAATTTTTTTTAAAAAGGTGCTATATACTGAAATGGAGAAGGCTAAAAACAGAACAAGCTGGGTGAAGGAAGTAAAAAGATTGGTTTTGATTATGTTAGGTTTGAAGAGTTTAACATCAAAGTTAAAATATTAAATGGACAGATGTCATAACTGGAGAAGTAAAATTTGGAAATAAGTATATGTATGATATATATGCTCTGGCATTTGACTTTTGCTGAGGACAATCTTGCAGTTTTAGAGGCCTTCACATTTCTTTAAGCAATATGGTAATTAAGTTTCAAGTATGATAACCACTGCTTAAAGAGTCATTGGTGATTCTTAGGTGCTATCTCAAGTGTTTTGTTTGTATTGATCACTTAATCTTTTAAATTGACTTTAGAAAACCAGTATTACTATTTCCTTCTTTTATATAC